CCCCCAAACCCGATTCTAGTTGTTAAGGCCCCTATATTCCGCCCCAAGCTGTTCTTCTCAGTTCCCCATTATGGGGGCTGATAGGTTCAGGGTTTAGGGCTTAGGTCTTACAACTCGTAGGGTAGGTGTAATCGTGTTCAGCCCGTAGGGTTTACTTGGACCCCTATAAACCCTATTTAGGGATCCTTATATATGTGGTTTAGGGTTTAGGGTTTAGGGTTTAGGGTCTTTGAACAGGTAGGTTATTAGGGCTTAAGGCCTGGCTTAAGAGTTCAAAAAGGCTTAGGATTAGGGCCAAATAAGCCTTCCGCCCGAATATTGAATAGCACGGACCCTCATAATGTCATATATCTCTAATCCGAAATATTTTCAGAACACCAAACATCCCATATTCGGAAACCGCAAACCAAAAGCCCAAAGTCCTTTACTTGACCCTATAGTCTTTAGATACCCATGGCCCTGCCAACTGCCGATCAATGCCTCTCTCCCCTAAACCCTAAACCCTAAACCCTAAACCCTAAACCCTAAACACTACACTTTTTTTAAAACCTAAACCCTTGCCGAGGATCAGCACGAGGCTTTCACGCGGGAGCAGGATCAAGCGGATATGCTCTCCAAGCAATCCTGGGCCTGGATTCAGGAGACTGCCTGGAGTAGTTTAGGGGGGGTTTAAGGGTTCTCCAAGCAATCCTGGGCCTGGATTCAGGAGACTGCCTGGAGTAGTATAGGGATTTCGGGGTTTAGGGTTCAGGGGTTTAGGGTTTAGGGGTTTAAGGGTTCTCCAAGCAATCCTGGGCCTGGATTCAGGAGACTGCCTGGAGTAGGGTTTGGGAGTAGGGTTTATGGTTTGGGGTGGGTGTACGATACTCTTGCTTCGGCTCTAAGAACTAACTATAACTATAGCCATATCCAGAACGATAGCTATAGCTGTAACTATGGCGTATACAACTCAAACCTTGCAACCCCTAAAGCCTTTAAAGCCAAAGAAGGTCCTAAAGTCCTAAACTATATCCATGACGGCCGGTCTGAAACCCTATGGTTTGGCGTTCCTTCTATCCATGACTACGGGGAGAAACCCTCTGGTTTGGCGCTTCTTCTCCTAGGGCCTCGGTTTAGGGTTTAGGGTTTAGGGTTTAGGGTCCTAGGGGGACGGCTGGGTTTGGTTTTGTGTTGCTTTGTTGATTTGGTGGTATGGGCCAGGAGGACGGGCGGTTCGCCACATTTTGCAACTGTGGGAATGGAGGGTATGGGGGTTGAGGGGTTTAGGGGTTTAGGGTTTAGGGGTTTAGGGGTTTAGGGGTTTAGGGGTTTAGGGTATTTAAGGGTTTAAGGGTTCAGGGTTTAGGGGTTCAAGGGTTCAGGGTTTAAGGGTTTAAGGGTTTAGGGGTTTAGGGTTTAGGGGTTTAGCGGTTTAGGGTTTAGGGCTTTAGGGGTTTAGGGGTTTAGGGGTGCTTCGTCCTGGCGGAGTCGCAGCAGGCCAGTTGCAAAAGGGTTCAGGGGTATTGGGGTCTACGCCAGTGACCCATGACTCAACTTTAGGATGTTTCCAGGTTAGGATATATTATCCAGTTGCATGTTTAAGCCCTAAACCCTAAACCCTAAACCTTAGGGTCGTGGGTAATCCAGTCTAATTAGCTCCTTCCATACCCCATGGCGAAAGTCCCAGTGTGTCCACGAGCCCGAAGGTAGAAGAAGTACAGTATCAGCACAACGAAATCATAAATACAAAATGCAAGGCCGGGGCAGGAAACATCTGAAAGGAGTATGAGAACCGCAAGATCTACAACCCAGCTTCATATAAGGGCCTAAATAATTACCTATACCGGTTTAGGGTTTAGGGTTTAGGTTTGGGGGTATATTGTAGCTATAGTATAATAATACTCTAAAGCCCTAGTCTCATTATTACGGCCCGTCATTTAGAACCCTATCATAGATCCCTTGTACAACCCTTTATGTGTTCCCTTCAAAGGAAACCTATTCTAATCATTAGCGCCTCTAAACCCACATCAACCCCGCCTGAAAGGAGTGGATGTCCGAGCATGTGAAGATCCACTCTGAAGAGGTCCTCGACTCGACGCAGCTCGCAGCGGATTAGACGGTTTCGGGTTTAGGGGTTTAGGCTTTAGGGTTTGTATTTAGGGTATGCAGCTGGCTAACCCTAAACCCTCAACTCTAAGCCAAACCCTACTTGTAATGCTGAACTTAAACTTCAGACGACCTGGAAAAACCTGCACACTAATGTAAGGGCCTTAATAATTAGAATAGGCTTTTGGGGGGTTATTATATTTATAGTATACTATACCCCCAAACCCTATTCAAATTATTAAGGCCCCTATACTACCCAACCTTAACTTCGGGCTTTGCACGCTGCCCGAGAGTCACGGCCCCTTTAAAGCCGTGGCTGAGGTTTCAGGAAAGACACGGGGTCTGGGGGCCCTTGACTCAGGGCTTAATGTAGGGGCCTAAGTAATTACCACTTCTTTTCTGGGGGGTTCCTCATTATAACTATAGCATAATATACCCCAAAACTCTAGTCTAATCATTATAAGGCCCCTAGATTCGTGATTCGAGCTTTCAAGCGTTTGGGGCTGGGACAGTTTTCAACTCGTCAAACCTCAGAGAGCTGGCTCATTAGGAATGTGGGACTCACTGTTTATGTTCGGGCGCGACATTAGTTTTGAGAATGTAGGGTGCAGCACCTTCAGGATATGATTCTTTGTATGATGTCAATGTCTGAACGATCCAAAACAACAATCCCTCATAGCCCCTACATATTTGCAGTACAGCTTACCCTTCTCGCTCATCAACAGAAGATAGTCTGATGATTCCGGCCTTTTTCCATTCCCTCTATGAAAAAAACCGTACAACATGAAACCCTATACCCTAAACCTTACCTATAAACCCTAAACCCGAAAAGCCGCCGAATTCCTCATCCCTAAACCCCACAACTTGGACTAAAACTGCTAAACCCTAAACCCCCAATTCCTAAACCCTAAACCCTAAACCAAGTATACAGGCCCTTCCAGTAGCCTTTCAAGGATGGTATTCATGGCCATCCATGCGCTGGGAAAGATCACGCAGTTTCGGGAGGAGGGCTGGGTGCGGAGGTTTGGGGGTGCTTTTAGGTTTAGGGTTTACCTATAGTCTCTATTGCAGTTCCTTTTTGGGGTTGCCTTTTAGGACCCTTACTATAAATTTGGTTAAACCAAAAAAAGGAACTATATTAGAGACTGTAGGTAGGGTTTAGGGTTTAGGATGCAGAGCCCCGTTTTGGCATTCAGGGCTTGGGATTTAGGGTTTGGTTGTACTTCGAAGCTCGAGGATTGAGGGTTAGGTTCTCGTCTAGGGTTTCAGGGTCGCTAGAACTATGCCTGAAGGTTCCCTAAACCCTAAACCCTAAACCCTAAACCCTAAACCTTCAGGGTACTTCCAACTTCTGATGACCTCCTTCTGGCCCACATAGAAGTCCCCAGAGCTAATATAGAAGCCTAAATTATTACCAATACTATTCTTGGGGGGTTCCTTTAATTTGAGTAAAGTATAAAGGGCCCCATAACCCCCTATTCTAATTATGAAGGCCCCCTAAACCCTAAACCCTAAACCCTAAACCCTAAACCCTAAACCCTAAGCCCCTATATTATACGTGACTCCATAATGGGTTTTACATGGCACACCCCGAGCCTTTCTGCATCCGCCAACCCTCATCCTGCGCAATATAGGTGCCTCGGTTTAGGGTTTAGGGTTTAGGGTTTAGGGTTTAGGGTTTAGGGTTTAGGGTTTAGGGTTTAGGGTTTAGGGAGGGTTTTGGGGTTTATAAACCCTATGATTCAGATCCAAAGCCCATCACACTTGGGGGGGTTCCGGAAGCCCTATAAACCCTAAAAAACCCTATCTTTAAAACCCTAAAGCCCTAAAGCCCTAAACCCTAAATCCAAAAACCCCAAGCCCTAAAACCCTAAAGCCCTAACCCTAAACCCTAAACCCTAAACCCCTAACCCCTAAACCTAAGCCCTAGAACCCTGAACCAGAGCCTAACCGGACTCCTTCGGAGTGGTGGAATTGGTGATCGGCGTGCCCTTCCGTCAGCTGAATCCGGAAGCTGCCCCTGTCTTCACCCGCAAGGGCCAGCTCCACCCGGGAGAGCCCAATACCGATTGACAACCCTAAGCCCTAAACCCGAAATCCCAAACCCCAAGCTCTAAACTCTAAACCCCTAAACCCTAAACCCTAAACCCTAAACCCTAAACCCTAAAACCCTAAACCCTAAACCCTAAACCCAACTCCAAAGCCCGTTCCTCTTCATAAGACCCGTTAAAAAGCCAGTCCGCCGTTGAACTCGTCAGAATTCTTCTGTTTCCAGTTTTCATAGGACGTTGGGGGCTTAATGTTTAGGCCTTGGGGAATAAAGTAGCGTGTGGATTCAGACCGTCAGAGGGATTCGATTGTCTGCGCTTGGGCGATGAGTAGACAGACTAGTAGAAGCTATACCCACCCAGGGTGTAGGGGATTGGCCACGTCTCGCAAGTACCTGAGCTCTATGCATCCTAAACCGCGTGTACTGCTGACCTTTGCCCGAATTCCCCAGTAGTACCCTTTTAGCCCTTGTCTTTTTGTGTTCCCTTCCTAAAGCCAAATATTAGGAAAATTGGTACCCGTATCATCATCAAGGGGCTACACTGAGAAACCTAGTTCCAATGCCAGGAGCTGGCACCCGGTTTCTCTTCGGATCTTCACGATGTCCGCCTGGCACCAGTTCGGGATTTCCGCACGGATTTAGATGCTATCAGGGCATTCGGGTAATTGTACGACTTGGGATTCTATGTGGTGATCACTTGCTGTAAGAGTCGTCTAGTTGTGTATGATTTGTGTTTCTGGAGGGGTTTGGGCGAGAGGACACTCAACATGTCGATGCCCCTCGCGATCCGAGTCCCGCTATTCAGTGTCCATTGTCGAAGACTTGATCAAGATCATTGCAGCACCGTTGCTTTTGCGTGGACCAGCGCGGCACCTAAAACCCTTAACTCTAATCTCCTGTGCCTGTGCCAGGTAGCTTTGGCCCACATCTTGGAGACGCAGCCAGAGCTGGTGCGCCGGCGCTAAACGCGGCTGTGATGTGGGGGGCTCTCAAAACTAGGAGGGGTTTGGACCTTTAACACGAATCCTACCATTCAGGGTTTGCAATTTTCTGAACCTTGTTTTGCACAACAGGCACGTTCGAACCTCTGTCAAGGTCACGGGCCCCTCAACCAAATGCGTACACTCCTTCTGGGAATTGTGAGGGGTGGGGTTAAGGGGTGTAGGGCATTGGGTTTAGCGTTTAGGCGTTGATGGTGCAGGCAAACCCTAAACCCTAAACCCTAAACCCGACCATGAACGCATTGAGGGGTTAAGACGCTTGTGCCAGTTTCGGGGATCAAGGCCATCTGTAGTGCGGGTTTAGTGTGTATGCTGCAAAATTCCTGTTGGAATTACTTAGGCCCAAATGGTTACCTCATATTATAGTGGTTCTTTAGGGTTTAGGGTTTAGGGTTTAGGGTTTAGGGTTATAGTGCAACATACCCCAAAAGCCCTATTCTAAGAATCAGGCCCCTGTCTTAGTCACTGAATCTGACCTGGGTGCATGGTTTGCAGGGTTATTACTCAAGCTTACATGGAGGATCATTGGACTTAGTAAGTAAGGTTATGAGTACCTTAATTGGGGTTGTAAGTACTTATTATGAACATAGTTACTGAACTATAACCGCTATAACCCTTTAGTTACTATGTCCCCTGATCTTTTAAGTAGGGGTAGATCATTCCTTCCACTTCCCTAAGCTCCATGTACCGAAATAGTATATGCTTAGGAGCCCAATAGGTAAACTTGAAACTTTTTTGGTATATTAAACCCCTACTAAAAAATTAAACTTTCTTGGGCCAGGGTACTGGGCAGCTAAGTATATGCTTAGCCCTTCAAGTACCTATATGCGAGCCTCTTGCAGGCCTTAGTCTGTACTATATGGGTACGAGCCTTCGGGCTTTGCTGCGTGGAGTTCAGGAACCCTAAACCCTAAACCCCTAAACCCTAAACCCTAAACCCCTACGCCCCTAAACCCCTAAACCCCGAAACNNCCCTAAACCCTAAACCCTACATTCGGGGCTCTCGGGATTTATCGCGAGCCCTCAAGTCTTTGTAAGAGCAACGTTGCAGCGAGGCAAAGATTCCCAGCAGCTCGGTACCCAGAACCTCCGCTAAACTGTAAACCCGAAACCCTAAATTACAGGTTTAGGGGTTAGGGGTTTAGGGTTCAGGAGCCCTATTCTTTAGGGTTTAGGGTTTAGGGGTTTAGGGTTTAGGAACCCTAACCCCAATTTCTGTTAAGCCCGAAACCCGCTTGCGGCGTAAACCCTAAACCTATGTGAAGTCCACATCCTCTGCTGACGACCCAAGCACTCTTCCAGTATATTTACATACAGCGGAGAGATTTGTCTCTTTGGTTTATCATTGTTTAGCATTGCATGTGTTTCTACATTTGTCTATCTATAGTTAAGCAGTTATGATTTGATTTTGAAGTCATGAATATGTTTATATACTCGATAATAAACAGATAAATGAAAAATAAAATAGACAAAATAAATAAATAAGTGAATAAGTGTATATATATATATGTATGTATAATATACACGTGCATGTGCATGTATGTATGTATGTATGTATGTATGTATGTATGTATGTATGTATGTATGTATCTGTATAAGAATCCACTAACACATTTGTATGTATGTATATGCGTATATACATATGCACATACATACATACATACATACATACATTCATACATACGTTGAGGTATCTGAAGACTTGTATGTATGGGCAAATAATCACATATGCATGTCCGCAGATATATACACACGTACATAGTAAAAGTTCGACCCCTAAACCCTCAACCCTAAACCCAAAACCCTAAACCCTAAAGGGTTTCGCGTTCCCCGGGTGAAAGGTACCTTCCTTCCAGCGGCTGCCTCCGAAGTACAAGACTCTGATCATGGACTCCTGGGCACCGTTAGAAATATCTTTGTCTTCTTCATGGTTTGGGGTTAGGGATTGAGGGCTAAACCCTAAACCCGAAACTCTAAGCCGTTAAGGCCACCAGGGTTTTAGGGTTTAGGGTGGGTTTCAAAAGATTTGAGAAGGGAGCCCCTGCAGAGCATCCCGTTTTCTTTCCTCCTAAACCCTGAAGCCTAAACCCGAAAGCCTAAACCCTAAACCCCTAGACCCCTGAACCCCTAAACCCTAAACCCCTAAACCCTAAACGATAAACCCCAAAACCCTAAACCCTAAAAAGGACTCACTGAGCGTGGACTTCCAGTTCAGCCAGTTCCTGCAGGCCGCCGGGTTCGGGATAGACGCTTAGGGTTTAGGGTTCAGGGGTTTAGGGTTTAGGGGTTTAGGGTTTAGAGGTTTGTGGTTTAGGGGGTTTAGGGTTAAGGGGTTAGGGGGTTTAGGGTTTCGGATTTTGGGTTTAGGGGTTTAGAGCTTCGGTTTAGGATTGACGGTCTTGGGTTTCTCCCTTATAGTCCCCTGTTTCATTCTAGCATCATTTTGCGCTGCACACCTCCTCTTTCGCCTCTATTTCATCGCCCTCCAAAGGCCCGACGCACCATGTTGAAAAACTCGTGTGAATGTTCCAAGCCTCAGTTAAACCCTGTAGGCCACCGTACAGGGTGGATGTCAAAGTAGCGCACTTCAATCTACTATAGGGCCTAAATAATTGCCAATACTAATGTGGGGGGGGTTCCTTATTATGATTATAGTATAATATACCACAAACCCTAATCCCTAAACCCAAAACCCAAACCCTATTCTAATTTTAAACGCTTCGCGTCGTCCGCCTCGGTCCGGCCGCAAACAAAGAGGGCCAACGAACTGCGGTGCCTTGAAGGCGCCGTTGGCGGAGCGGATGAGGACCGGGCAAGGGGAGGAGGTCCTAAACCCTAAACCCTAAACCCTAAACCCTAAACCCTAACCCCTAAACAGCAGGAGGGCGGGCCGGGGGCCGGGGGTGGGCCGAGAGCTCATTCCGTCACACAGAGACACCCCCCCCCCTTCTGCAGGGTGGGGGTCACTGGGATTAAGAGGTGGGGAATAGAGGGAATAGAAGGAATCTGCAGAATCCGCATATAAAATCCCGAAACCCTCAGCCCGACACGGCCAACCCTTTAACTAAGGAATATACCTTATAAACTGTAGCAGCCTTAATCTTACGATTTAAGGTATGTTCCTTAGTTAAGGGGTATTGGGCGCTCTGGGTAAGTCGTTGGGTCCCATCTTTGGTGTTCACCGGCGTTGGTTTCAGCACGAGCACCGGGCGTGGCTGTGAGAAGCGATCTGGGCTCTTGAAGATTCCCAAGAGGGTCCACATATAGTACTATTATGGAATTAGGTCCCCAAAACCATACTAGGGATGGTCTTTTGGGACCTAATTCCATAATGGTAGTGTATATGGACCCTCTGGGTTCGCTTTCGTTTTGGTTATGCATCGTAAGTCGACACAAGGGATTGTTGGAAATATCGAGGAATTTTGTAGCAAGCGAATAGCTACTGCAACCCTACTAAACCCGAAATCGTGCTCATTTAGAGTTTGGTTTGGTTGTAGGTGGTGAAGGAGTCTGGGGAGGGTTTAGGGTTTAGGGTTGTTTAGGGCCCGTATTTTGGAGCCTCCTTCTGACAATTAAAGGGATAATCACTGGTGACTGCAGAAACCAAAAGGGGCAATTCAACAAACTCCTTTTCATAAGCCATCTCTTTCTTTACTCGACGCACCCGCACGCACTGCAGTCTGCTTCATAGCCTCGAAGTGGTTCAGAGGTTGAAGTTGGGAACTTACTAGAGTGAGTGTCCTAAAACAAAAAAACATCAGCGATGCCCTCAGCCCACACACATACTTCTAGCAGCCTTACAATTAACCAAGAACTGAAGACACCCGTAAGAGCTGGGGTCTGAAAAGCTAGAAAGATGGGTAGTCTGAAGGTCAGGGTGGTTGTTGAACAATCATGGAGTATGGGAGCTTCCAGAATGAGTCAGGGCTTCAATCCTAACATCCACGCTGCACACCCCCCCCCCCCCGGCCACACCTGGACAACGTCTAGGAATATTCGCTGACCCTTTAGGCCCTGCAGGTAAAACCTGCACTCCGCTAAATCCTCAATTCGCAGTCTTGTGGTGCTAGCCTGAAATTTCTAAAGACTAGTGCTAAACCCAACTGCTCCTAATCCCCGAAACCCTAAACCCTAAACCTAGAGCCTAAAGCCTAAAGCCTAGCCCCAAAGCATGTACACTGCTCTATGTTTCCGGCCTTGTATGCTAGGCAGAGATCGTTCCTTCCAACCTGGTCGTGGTGCGGAGCTCATGGCGAAGTACTGCTTGTCCCTAAGGGTCCAAGTACTTAAAATAATCATATACTCTCCCAAATAGTAACCTACATAACTACTATCCGAAACCAAATCCGACATCCCTAAACCCTAAACCCTGAGCCCTAAATCCGAAACCCTAAACCCCTAAACCCCTAAACCCTTAACCTAAGTACCTGATTATTGGGTCCTTTGGACCCTTGGGATGTGTATTTCTTGACTGGCTGGGCTGAAAGTGTTGAAGGCTTTGTCTTGGGCTTACCTTAACCTACCAAAACCCATCTTTTTTGTAGGTTCTTATTATAAACCCTATTATGGAAATTATAGGGACCCTACAAAAAAGTAGGTTTTGGTAGGTTAAGGTAGGAAGCACAGCGGAAAATGCAGAAAATGGAGCTGCCGAAGACTCAGCAATGCAACGCAAGGGCACTGGGCCTCGTGTTGCGGTCCAGTCGGACTTACATGATGGGATTCCCAAAGGGTCCTATGTACTGTTATGGGGGATACTTCCCCAAATCATAATAGTAATTCCTAATATAGAAACCCTACATTCTACTATATAGGTACTTAGGACCCTTTGGGATTTGCTCGAAGCCCAGCCTTCTCTTGTCTCTTATTCCACCGCGGCTCATATCGTGCACAACAACCTTAGACAGCATGCGTTATAACCATCGGCCCTAAACCCTAAACCCTAAACC